TAACTAGAGGTTGTAGGTAGTCATCATTGACTTGTAAACTAGTTATTACTAACTAATCACTGTACTTAACTAGTCACCATTAACTAGTTGCTCTGGTTAACTGGTTAACTAGTCTTCACTAGTAGCCTTTGTTACTCAGTCACCATTAACTGGTTGACTTACTTAACCAGTTGTCATTAACTAGTTGCCTCACTTAACTAGTCATTAAGTAGTTTCTCTGGTTAACTAGTTGTGGTTTGTGTCTGGATTTCCCCCCAAAGCCTCACGCAGCCATGGTGGGGGCAGGCATTGTGGAGGCAGCTGTATCTAGAGTTTACAATTGATTCGTTGTCTAGTGCTGAGATTGGCGGTGAGTGCTACATCCACCCTGGGGCAGGTAGCCTGCATACAATGTAAGGGAAGGAAAGGCTTGTCTCTTCCCTTCTCTCCCTTTTAGCTCTTGTTGCTTTTGCTGTCTCTGCCACCCCAGCAGCCATGAACTCTCACCCTTCTGCCAGTCCACCCTGCCTTGGAACCAGCTAAATATGGACTGAAACCTTTGCAAACTGAGCTAAAGAAACCCTTCCCTAAGTTTGAGTGTCGGATATTTTGTATCAGCAAAGAGAAATGTAACTAAGACAGAATTTTGTACCAGAGAAGTGGGGTCGTTGCTGTGCATATACCTGACCATGTGGTTTGAGAGCCTTTGGGAATGGCTTGTGGGAAGAGTTTGGAAGGGTTTGGAGCTGTTGCCGGAAAGAGCAGTACTGGAATGCCTTAGGCTGTTCTGTTTGGGAGATTCTGGTCAGAGCTCAGAAGACCAGAGGGCTGATAGAAATCCTGCTGAAAAGACCTGGCTTTGGAAGTTTCTCCTGGGAAGAAGACTGCATTGGCTGCTGGACTCCAGACGATGTGTGTTATGGCTTGGCTGTCAATTTGTCAGCATTTTGCTCATGTCCAGAGACTTTGCCTGAGACTGAGATTAAGGGCAGCAGACTAATCTGGCAGAAGAAATTTCAAGACAGTCAAATGTTGAGGTGGTGGCTTGGCCACTGTTGAGGGCTTTTAGTCAGATCTGTGTTGAGAATCAAGAGCAAAGAGTCCAGCAGGATGATTTAAAATGTGAGTTTGGCCAGAAGGGAAGCTCCAGTAAAGCTGTGGACTGCAAAGATTGAGCAGAGGAGACCTTGATTGCTGAGAAGGAACAGGAGAATAGAAAAGATGGCCTGAGGGCATCATAAGAAGCAGCAAGTCTCCACCCTTTGCAGCCTCAAAACTGCAAAAGTGAAAGATTTTGCTTTGAGGAGAAAGCCACAGATCACCATGTTTCAGAATGGCAGCAGCTGTACCTTGTTCTAGAATGGCAGCAACTGCAGCATGTTCTAAAATGGCAGCAACATAGAAAATTTATTCCTCAGAAATGGATTTAGAGAGCCCAGTGATCTAGGCACTTGACCCCTACAGCCAAGAGAGAGGAGAGCCTGGCTACTGGTCCAGCTGGCAGCAGACCTTGGCATCATCCACGTGGTGCTGGTTTTAATGCACGCAAGATGCAAGAGTTGTGGGTTAAGAAGGATTCTACCACAATTTCAGAAGGCCTGGGAAGCCAGGCAGTTTGCCCCTGACAGGGCAGTGAGTAAAGCTGTGAAGGTGAAGTCAGAGGTGCAATGGAGACCCCAGAAGTTTGGAGAAGCTAGGAACTTAGATCATCTAAGGAAAACTGCAAGGAGGGAGCAAAGCAGGCCTAAGGAGCCCTCAGAGCTATAATCATCAAAAGTGCCCTTGGGGCAGAGTCAAGCCATTTGGAGCTTTTGGGAGGAGGCTGTATCTGGAGTTTGTAATTGATTCATACTGAGTGCTTGGATTGGTGGTGTGAGTTCTATACCCACCCCAGGGTGGGCATACAATATAAGGGGGAGGGAAGACTTGTCTCTTCCCTTTGCCCCCTTTTGCTGTGGTTGATTGCAGTCTCCACCACCCCAGCCACCATGAACTGTTGCCCCTCTGCCAATCTACACCGCCTTGTAGCCAGCCGATTATGGACTGAAACCTCCACAAACTGAAATAAATCTTTCCCTCTTTAACTTTGGGTGTTGGGTATTCTGTCCCAGCAATGAGAAAAGTAACTAAGACTTTAGTCATCAACTAGTCACCTTAGTTAACTAATCACCATTAACTAATCACCATAGTTGACTAATAGTTGTTAAGTAGTCCCTTTGTTAACTAGTCACCTTATTTAACTAGTTGATCACTAGTCTAGCCATTAATAGCCATAGTAGCTAATTGTTTCTAATTAACTAGTCAACTAATCATTAACTAGCCATCACTAGTCACTTAAGTTAGCAATTCATTAACTAGTCATTAACTCATTATCTTAGCTATTATTTGTCATTAACTAATCATTAGTAACTCATTAGCCAGCCTGTGTGTATTACTCAAGTTAACTAGTCTTAGTTAACTAGTCATTTTATTTTTGTCCTCATTAACTAACAACTGTAACTCATTACCTTAGGTAACTAGTCCTCATTAACTAGGACATTAGTCAAGTTGTCCTCATTAACTAGCTGTTCTACTTAACTAGTCCTCATTATCTAGTCATTGCAGTTAATGGACTAGTCATCATAGGTCACTAGTCCTCATTAAGTAGTCAGTTAAGTTAACTAGCCATAAACTAGTAAATCTGTTTTTCACTTTCTTAGTAAAAAGACTGATAAAAGCAATTAGATCTGTTTGTGCCACCAGTGGCGGAAGCTGCCCAGCAGGACAGTTTTGCTTGGAATACTGGTAGCTCAAGCAAGCGGGAACACGACACTTTTATATCAGAGCCACCTGGCAGTGAGGCATACAACGATTGCCCCATGATGAATTGTGTTCCCAGCAATGGGAAAGCTGACTATACTTTATTTCAATACTGTGATTTATTTCAATACTGCTATTTAAAAAACAATTAGAGCTTATATGTGAATTAAGCAAGGTTGCAGGAGGAAAGATCAATACAAAAAAATCAATTGTATTTCTATATACAGAAATAAACAAGTAGAAATTGAGATTTAAAACATACCATTTATAGTGGCATAAAGCTAAAACACGTATGGATAAATCTAATAAATGCATACAGAATTTATGTGCTAAAACTTAAAAGCACTGATGAAGCAAAGACCTAAATAAATGGAGAAGTATGTGATGTTCACGTATGAAAAGATATTGAATCGTAAAGATGCTGGCTCTTGGGGCTGGGGATTTAGCTCAGCGGCACAGCACTTGCCTGGCAAGCACAAGGTCATGAGTTTGATTCCTGGTACCGGAAAAACAAAACAAAACAAAACAAAAAAAAGATGCTGGCTCTCATGCAAATGGCATTAGACTGACACACAACTATTCTTTCAGCACGGTCAGTTTTGCTTCATCTATTTTGAGTTTCAGTTGTTAGGTGCATGTGTGTTTATAGTCCTAACTTCACCTCCAAAAGGATCCCATCACCTCTGCAGTCACATGGGGAGAACTGTTCGGGTTTAACACAGGAATTTGGTGGGGGACACAGTTCAGTATACTGCCCTGACTAATCTAATTAAAAATAAAGAATAAAAAAAGGCATACTTTTTTTGGAGTAGGGGAAGGGGATTAGAAGAAGGAAAAGGGAGAGAAAGTGCAGGGAAAGGAGGTAAAAATGATTCTTTTGGGCCAGGGATATAGCTTAGCGGCACAAGCACCTGCCTGGCAAGTGCAAGGTCCTGAGTTCAATTCCTGGTACCAAAAAGAAGAAAAAAAGAAAAAAAAGATTCTATCTATCTATCTAATCTCCAAGAGTTTGTGCACTAGCATGCAAATGTACAGGATACACACAAGATACTGTTGGATAAAAGGCAGTTTGGTTGAACAGCGAGATGCAACTTCTTGCCTTGTAGAATGAAAACAACTTAAAGCTGATGCTATGAAATATCAGAATGGGGAGTGGAGCACACTTTGGCTCTTTCTTGTATAGTTACACATTCCCCATATAACCCAGCACTCTTGCCGTTAGGTATTTACTTAAGGGAAATGACAAATTAGATTCACACTAAAACCCATGCAGAAATCTTCTTAGTGGCTTTAGTCTTAATAGCAAAAGATAACATGGAGAAAATCCACCAAAAGATAACATGGAAAACGTCCACCAGGAGATGAATGGGTAGACACACAATGCCGCATTCCTGCCCTGCAGTACTTACTCCTTGGTAACCTGGGGAGAGTACTGCTCGGGACATGGGGAGGACTGCTTGGTTCAGGTGAGACAACGGGCAAATCTGAGGAGCATTTTACTGGATCGAAGAAGTTGGAGACAAAAGAGTGGGTATTGCGTGAGTCCATTTAGATGAAATTCTAGAACCAACAAGCAGAGCCTCTGGTGTCAGATGGCTGATGCTCGGTGGACTGGAGCTGGGGTGGACGGGTTTCTAAAAGGACAAGGCAAATCTGGTTGTCAGTGTTATGACTCTGTGGTTGTCCCACGTGTATACATCTGTCACTGTTTAAACGCTGCCCTTACAAATCTGTGCATTTCAATACAGCTGAGCCAAAAATAGTTGATTCAACTAGTATTTCTAGCTCCTGGTTTTTTAAGTATTTTAAAATTCGCTGGCTATGGGGGAGCTGCCGGAGCACCGTGTAGCTCTTATTAACATCCACCTGTCCTTCTACCCTGCTTTCAGACTGTTGGGCTTTTAATTTCTAAATAATTTTCCAGCAATTACACATTTGTCCGACAAAGTTCTTAGCAAATGTTAAAGTTTTTTTTTCTATGTTCCAAGTGACTCAACCGAAAGGAATTTGGTTGGAAATGAATGTTTACGGTCATTAGTTCATGTCTTGAGAAGGTCTTTGCACCCTGGGGAGATTTTGCAATTTTCGTATGCATTTTCAAAGCAATTGTGTCTGCTTTCTAGGTTATTTCATTTTAAGAATTCATTTTCAGCCATCCATGCCCACTGTACCTATTTAGCTGTGTTTTTGAAAATTCCACGAGTATTTCTTCTCTCTTACAGAGGGAGAGAGAAAATTGGCAGTTCGCAGCAACATTGCCAAGGAGAAAGAGCAGGCCTAATGGACTGAAAATGGATGAGCATGTTCAATTAAAACAAAAAACAAACAAACAGGCACCCCCGAAGCCTGAAGGAGGACCATGAAAATGCAAAAATACCACGACGCACATGCATAAAGCATGATTTCATCAAGTCCCTGAATTTGAGCACCAGTTTACAGTGTGACCTTGGGAGCCACCTTCCAGGCCTGAGGAGGGTGAGCCAGGGTGGGGTGGCGGGGGTCAGTGGGAGAGAACTTGCTTAGCAAGTGTGGGTTCCATCCTTCAGCACTGCAAAAGGGTGGAGCGTTTCAAACCAAACCAAACGCAAAACCAAAAACCAGAGATTGGATGTACTGTCAAGGTTTCTGATTTTTCCTCTAGGGTTGTGCCCAAGGATGTGACAGGCTGGCGGCTGAGGTGATCTTGTTGTGGGGTAGGTGTATGGAAAAGAGAGGGCAGTAGCAGGTTGGAGGAGTCTCTGAGGCTTAATTTTGAGTGGAGCTTTAGATCTTGGTGCCCCTGAGTTCTGCAGTCACTCAACAAACACACACGTAAGTAAGTCTGGGGTCTTGCTCACAGGCTGGTGGGGAGCTGACATCTGGCTGCAAAGGGGTTGGCTCAAGTGGCTTCCAAGCGCACGTCATTCTTGGGACTGAAAGTGACTCAGACAAGGGCAGAGCCGGATCTGGGCCCTGCCACCAGCCTCCATGGAGCAAGTCACCCTGGCCCCTGTAACCCTGGGCTGGGGTAGGAAGTGCTTGGTGCCCTAATGGGAGTAATCACTCTCGCTTGGGGACAGATGGCATCTTGCCAAGTGTGGGTACACGGGGATCATCCTGATGCCCAGCAAGGACGGACTCTGCAGGAGGGGACTCTCCTGCCCAGCCCAGAGGGCTTCCTGGAGGAGGGAGAGTTTCAGGGCAGACTCCGGGATCTGGAGTCAATGAGTCCAACTTCCTTCCTGTCCTGGGCACCAGCTGTTCCTGGCCCTGCCACCCGCCCGCCCGCCTGCCCTCACCTCGTTCGCCCTTCCTGGCATTTGCAGGGCTCCCATGAGAAAGCAGCCTTTGCAAGTGGAACTCCACGAGGGAAGGACACGCTGTCCATGGCACAGTCACACGTGAATTCCCCTGGGCACGAAGCTCCATAGGATGCCTGGGCACTTTGTCCAGAAACCAGACCACCCCGAGGGCCTGCGTCCTTTCACCTATCCTGTGGCCCAAAGCCCTGCTCCCCGTCTCCGTCCCCTTTCCAAAGCTGGGTCAGGAAGGGAGGGGGTGGATGGGGAGACAGCGAGGAGGGAGGTCACAGACCAAGGTGCTTGGGGTGCTGAGAAGGAAGGCAGGCGGGGCGGCAGAGTGGGGCAGCCCTCCCCAGGTTGTCCGGTGTGGCCTTGAGTGGACACTTGCTTGGGACAAGCTGAAGACTGGAAAAATGTCACTGCCCTGCCACCTGCCCGGATGCCAAACAGGAAACAGCTGCCAGCATCCGGGTGCTGAGCACGCAGAGAGGCAGGGCTGGTGCGCCTCCCCCGAGCCCTGTTAGCTGCAGGAGTCAGGACTGTGGTGAGTCTTGGCAGACAGGGATGGAGTGGAAGGAGCCCAGGGGAGCTCCGCCTGGGGCCAGGCCTGGCAGAGCCCAGCCTCCGATCGGTGCCTGTTCTGTGGGCTCCTGTGAGGCGCGGTGCAGCTGGGGAGGGGGCCAAGGCTGTCGGGGAGCCAGACTGCGATCCTTTCTCTTTTTTTTTTTAGAGTAGTCCAGGCTGACCTTGAACTCGATATGTAGCCCAGACTGGTTTTGAACTCATCATCTTCCTGCCTCAGCCTCCTGAGTGCTGGGATTGCAGGCTTTGGGGATGGGAGAAGTCCAGGCCGCCCAGTTTTCAGAGCGGCAAGGTGAGGTGCAGAGAGGACCGTGGCTGCCCCCAGAGTTCAATGTGGGGGCCGAGGTGGAGCTCAGGCAGCGGGGTCTGGAAGAGAAGTCAGGCCTTCCCCCATCTCTAAACCTGCCGGCCCTGCTATCTCAGGGTGGGACACGTGTGGCCCTAGGTCTCCCTGCTGCAGTTCTGGGAGGGGGCCATGGTAGGGAGAGGCGGGGCTGGATGGGCCTCCGGAGAGCCAAGGGGCCCCAGGCTGTGTCCACATCGCGAGCCTTTGGAGGGGGCTCCACGGCGAGGGGGGCCGTGGCAGACAACAACGGTGGGCAGAGTCAGAGCCGTTCCGTGGACCCCACCCGGCCACGCCCAGCCGGTGAATTAGAGAATGCGTGGGAAGGGGCTTCCTGGATTCTCTACATCGCTCCAGGGATTCTCAGAGGGGCAGGATTTCCTGATGCTGGCGCAGGCCGTCACGCGCCCACCCCGGCCCTCTAGTGACTGTGGAATTGCAGGAGCTGTGGACGTTCACCTGCGCTTCCTCTGTGCCAGGCGCTATTGCACGGGACCTCAGTTCACTCTCTCGAGAACCTGGGAAGGGGTGGCATTGCCACGCCCATTCTGCGGTGCTGGAAACTGAGGCTTAGAGAGGGGACGAGCCTCAGTGGGTGCCCTCCGCGCCTCCCGCCAGGAGGCAGCCCGCCTGGCGGGGGAAGGTCAGAGCCCAGCCGGGAGCGGTGCGGGCCGCTGCTCTCCGCAGTGGGGAGTGTGACGGGCCTCTCAAGCGCTTGAGGCTCAGACCCACGTCTCCGCCCCCCAGTGGCCCTTTCTGTCCTCCACGGGGATCCGGAGCCACTGCCTGCTCCACCTTGGGGTGGGGGAGCCCCCATTCCACACTGCGCCAGGAGCCTGCGAGAGAAGGGGCGGGGGCCAGCCTGGCATGGCCGGGCCGTCCTGCGTTTCCACCTGTCTGGGGTCAAGGGCAAAGCCGGGACGCCCATCCTGGGTGATAGCAAGTTCATGAGAAGGGGGCCTCCCGGCCAGGGGCAGGAGGAAGACGCCAGTGCCCGTCTGTGTGCTCGGCGGGAAACAGCGAGAAGCCCCTGTGGTTAAAAAGAAAATTGCCGAGATTTGCACAGTTTCCCCAGTCGGAGGAGCTAAGTGAGCTGTTAGCGGGAGGGGGGTTGTAAACCTGCCACCCGCGTCCGCCCGGTCCTTAAGCGGAGCCGCCTGTCCGAGGACGCTTGGCCGCGGCTCTCGGAGCAGCCGCAGTTCCTGGAACTCTGCACTCTTATCTGTCCCGTCACAGCGTCATCCAGGTGCCCTTTAAGTGGCCGTGCTGAAACACGTGCCTGAAAATCAATAACAGCGAGAAGGAAGCGAGCTGGGATAAAGCACTGTGAAAAAGGCCCGGCCGCCCGCAGCAAAAGCTGCGCTGTTAATTTACACAGGGCCGCCGGGACACATCAGAGAGAACGCCGCAACCGAGAAGCGGCACTGGCGCGGAAGGATGCCGCAGTGGGGCGGGTTGGCGCCCGCGTCCTCTCTACTTTGCATTCATCTCCAGGGCGAAGTTCGCTGGGAATTGTGCACGCCGCGCCTTGGGCGGGGTGCTCGGGACACCGGCTTTGACACCGGCTTTGCCTACAAGGCTGCCTGTGCTTTCTGGCGGGCAGGAGAAGGAATGAGGCGCGATCCCAGGGTTCTCCTGGGCCAGGCCATCTTTTTTTTCTGTCCTGGGTTGGGCCTCAGAGGCCCCATCTGTAAAGTGGGCGGGGAGGGTGGCTTCCGTGTCTCCCCCATTGCATCGCAGAATCAGAGTCCCCCCATCTTTCCGGGGCAGAGCCCGCAGCCCGCAGCAGCTCGTCTCTATTCATCGTGGGGCTGGCCGTCTGCACTCGAGGGGCCAAGAAGGAGCGCTCATTCATTTGAACCCCGGAGGGGTGGACGTTGGGAGCCAGGGCCGCACAGACCTGTGGCCCGGGCTGGCGGCCGCTGAAAGGCCCCCAGGAGCCCCGGGGTGTTAGTGCGATGGGGCTCAGGGCCACTAGAGGGCAGCACTAGCCCGGCGCTAGGGGCGGGGCGCGGGGCGGGCGGGGCGGGAGGCGCGGTGCTTCCGGCTCCAGGGGGCGACGCGGGGCCCGCGCTGCAGGGGCGGACGGGACACCCGGGGCCCGCTCTCACCGGACGTTCGCCCTCCCGAGGGAGGCAGGGCCAACGTGCAATGAATTCATAAGCGCGGCAGTTTCAAGCAGCGGGAATGGTGGATGCAAATCCAGAGTGGCGGGCGGGCGGGCAACCTTAGCGGGGCCCGGGCGGGGCAGCCGGGCGAGACCCGAATGGGGAGACACAGCCGCGACCCGGAGATCGGGACGCAGAGGGACGCGGGGCGGGCCTGCGTCCGCGCGTCCACCGGGGCGGCCCGGCTCGGCTTCCCCCGGGAGAAGCTGGGGAGCGTCCTCAGGGTCACAGAGCCCGCCAGTTAGGGTCCGTGTCTGTCTGACACATCCCTACTTTCTTCCATCCTCCCCTAACAGGACGGTGACCGCGACAGGTGCTTCCCCGGTGCCCGTTTCAGACCGCGATCTCTGTAGGGAAATGAGGCAGCGACCAGCGGATAGGTTAGGAGCTCGAGCGGGCGCCGCCGCTCCCAGCCTCAGCGGTCTGGGTTTTGAAAGGGAAGGGCGTTTCCGAGAACCCGCGTCTCCGACTCAGCCTCGCGCGCCTGGGCCCTACTGCTGGAGCCCGCGCGCCCTCTTGTGGACAGATTGGGAACCACACGCTCAGCTGCAAGGGGTCGTGGGAAATCGGTGTGCTCGTGTGTGCTTTGCTTGTGCATAAATATACGCATCTGTGTGCCTTGGTCTGCGTGTACCTGCCTCTCTTCGCGTTGGTGTGTGCACTTGCCTGTGAGCGCATGTTTTGTGCGTATCTACCTGTGCTCGTTTATGGGCACATGCTTCTGTGTGGTCACGTCTGCGTACTTTGCTTGTTTGTGCATGCGTCCTTGTGTGCGTGCGTGTGTGTGCGCTCTCGCATGTGTCCGTTCACAGAGGCCTGTGCGCTCTCCCGCGAGGCTCCCTTCTGTGCTACGTCAACCACCTTGCAATTATTTTCTCTTTTGTGTCATGGAACCTCATCGGAGTACAACAGATCATGGCTTAAGACGCGATTCTTCGCTATGCATCCAGGCCGTTACACTTTCGCCCTATAGGGCAATGGCCTCCCGGGGACAGAGACCCGGAACTTGCACAAGTTTGCAGGCGGTAGCCACGACACAGTGGTGTGCAAACAAGGTGACCCCAACTCCCTGTCCTCATTTGTCCTCCCGTTGGATTTTTGGCTGATCCTTTAAGCCTAGTGAAGTGGGATCATTGTCCCCATTTGGCAGGTGGGGATGTTGAGGCCCAGACAGGGAAATATTAAAAACAGCCCTGAAGAAACCATCCGAACAATAGGCAAACGCTCGCGTCTAGATTTCATGGCAGTTCTGGGAAGATAGTTGTTATCAAAAGGACAGAGAGGTTTGAATCCCCGGACTGGAGTCTAAGGCGGCAGCGGTAGAACTCAGCTTCCGCAGCTCCCGGGGACACGGGCGAGCTGTTCACTGCCCCTCTCCCTGGCTCTAGGCTCCTTTCCCAGGAACCTTCTCTGCCGAGCCCGGGAGCCTCCCGCCCCAGTCCCCGAGTCCCGGTCTCTCGCGGAGGTGCGGGCGCTGTGAGGCGATACCTGCGGAGGCTGCTGCGGCCGGCCGCAGAGCACTGATTGCATAACCTCCTCGCTGTGGGGCCTGCTTACCCGGTAACCACAGTCGAATCCTGCGGATGGCACCGCACGGTTACAGTGCAAGGCGCCTCGTGGGAAGCCGGTGACATCCGCCAGATTTTGGGCCCTTTCCTGGGGGGCGAAGGTGGCTTCCCTTGTGCGGGTCTTTTCTGCACAGGGGTGGAGTGTCCCTGTAATGATACTGTAGCATGGAAGGGTGAGAGACCAGACAGAGCACCCAAGGCCACCCCCTCTGTGATCTATCCAGACACACCCGGAAATGTGCTTTACTAATGCTTTGGGTGTTTCTTACCCCAGTGAAGTTGTGCATCACAATTAATAGTCAAACCCTCTAAGGCACCCCTCAGAGACCCTCTCCTCCCCCAGAATCCCACCTCCAAATGGCACATTCAAGACTTTGTCAGTGGAGTAATCCACTGATGACCCTTCGCCTGTGAAAACCCCACTTTTGAACATATGCGG